ATATTGTACCTCATCATCTTGAATTTGACTGTTCGAGATATCCACTATGGTGAATGCCTGTGAATGGAAATGATTGATATTCAATTGACAAAGAAAAAAAAACGAATATCAGTATATGACTTTGTCGTTCCGAATTTTGATTACTGCTTCAATAACAACACAAAACCTACTATGATTCTTATCGAGATGAAATGTTGTCAGTGTCTTTTCAAAATAGACAAAAGAATGAGAGATTGATAGGAAAATCATTATGGTAAGCGAGACTCACCATATTATTTTCTAAAGCATCGGCAAGACATCGGGCTCCCTCATATCCAATTCGATTGGCTGACATGTTCAGTGTAGTTAGAGTCTATGGTAAATCAAAGAATCATAAATATGAAAGAGAGAGATACAAAAACTTACCGTATTCTTTCGCAAAGCATTAGCGAGATACTGAGCTCCTATGTCTGTAATTTGATTTTCGCTTAAATCCAGTGTAATCAATGTCTAGGTATAGTAAAAAAAAACGAATACAAGGAAAACGACACAAAAAAACAAGATCGATGATTACTGTATCATGTTCTAAGGCATTAGCAAGATCTTCTGCCCTCGTGTCATTAATTGCATGTCTATGAAGATCAAGCGTGGTTATGCTCTGTGTCTAGAAGAAAAAGTACAATAAAAATAAATACTTTTATTCATCACACACGAAAGAGCAATTAAAAATCAAGGATATCGATATCCTCGAATTGCAAGTCATACGAAACAAACGATTCTCTTCTGATCATTGAGGTAAAATCAACATTATTGTATGTTTGTTTTTTTTTTGGATCTGAAACATCCATAGATAGTTGTAGTCAGTGTTTCTATGCATTTCCAAACAAAACTTTCATAGACTGAAGATCGAAAACTTTGCGAAAAAAAAATTATCTTTTGTCTTCGAATATGTGTTTTAAACTTTGTAAATGTCCACCTTGAATACGAATACTTTTTTTTCCAAGACATTCTCTCTACTATTTCGGATCTTCTATTACTACTATTGAATCAGCATAAAGAATGATAACGTGATTATTCGGTTAGTTTTCATCACAGTGACTTGTTCATAATCTCAAAAAGTGTTTCTCGTTCAATTCTCTATAGAAACATCTGAGAAGAGAATGAACAATACGTTATCGGGAAATCGAAGATAGTCAAAACTGTCATGACTAAAATTGTGTCATTTGTCAACTATTTTCTGATCGGTTCGACGCTATTCTAGAACACTTAGAAGTACTCTGAATGCTACATTTTCTAGTGCTTTGAACATTGTGTCAAGTAAGAAATAGTCTAAAGATTTTTCATTTCAAGTCTTCATCATGCGTGAATCTTTCCATTTTTCTATTTCTTTCGACTTTCTATAATCTATTTATGAGGTTACATTGGTAGTACAAAGTCTAAAATTTTGTTGGAAGATTCTGCTAAAGTGAAGAAAAGTGTTTCATTGATTATTCATAACAGATGATTATATAGAAGAAAATCTGTCCCTAGAATGTGTATATCTTATCTTAACAAATTGTTTTGAGCGTCGTTCTAAAATTGAAGGCATCTCTTCCATCTGATTAGACAAAAGTAGAAAGATAATTCATCTTCGAAAAACAAACCTTGAAAAGTGGTCGATTTTGACGCACAATTAAACTGACTATCTACGATATTATGTTTACATGCTATAATGTAAATTCACCAGAATATGAACTGAATGCTCATGATATTATTCTTTATACTACATCCGATACTATGTCAGACGAAGTTGCATGCTCCACTATTCGAACTTGAAAGTATTCCTGAATATGTCTAAGGCTTACTTTTGAAAATACTGTTAGGACAAACGAAACAGAACTACACCAGTATCCCGATGTTAAGATGATTTTTAGCAGTGTATGTAACTAAGTTTCTGTGACTTTCTGATACTATAACTCTTTTGAATATAGTGTACCGTTCCTTGAAAATCAGTTCTTTCATGAAGAACTTCGCTATGTTATTTCATTGAGCTTATCATGAACTTTAGTCAAAATATGAAAAGGCTCTCCATACGCGTCTTATAGATAAAATTACTAAAGGAATTCTCAGAGTGAGACAAAAGAGAATTCAGATTGATCAATATTTGAGATTAAAAAAACAATGTTGTCTATTAAGAAAAAGTATCGTTGATTTTGTTTTTCTTTTAGAATCTATTCTCAAAAAAAATAATATTGAAACGATACAGTTTGAATTGGATAGTACTCTGAAATTCAGATATGACTTCAGTTTCTTCCATGGAAACGAATAATTTGCCCATACCTCTTCGACATTGTCATGGGCAAATTGAATGATCGGCTGATTGGTAAGATGAGAGATAGCGTCGGTTGCTGATATTACACATCTGGTATGAGCCATCAAATCGATCCATCGTATTCGTGGCAAAACCGTAGAACGTCCTGTGCTAGGCTGCATACTTTGATTAATCATGCAATTGTAATCATTTCGAAAAAGCAAATTATACGGTGCATGAAAACCATCAACATTGAAGCCATTGTTCATATCGTACTTGATCGTATGTTTGATTCCATCACTAAGTCCGATTGGTTTGGTGTAGAGTCTGAACGTGTGTGAACGAAATGTAAGATCTAAATAAGCAAACCATTGTTTCTCTTGAAGCCAGAATGGTTCTCGAAATGAATGAACGAGTGATTTGAGAGAATCGAGATCATCGATCTCTCGAACAAGTGTTGCATAGGAGAAGAGAAATTCGAATTTTTGTAGAAGAGGTAACCGAGTTTTAATAAATTGCTTCCAATAGAAACCGTTTAGAGTAGAGTCAGGTCTGTCTCTTTCTGATACCAACTTCAGATGCATTAATGAAGGTGTTAGTGGAAGTAATAATTCTAATTGTTCTATCGGTAATGAACAGTCTGTCATAGTCAATGACTGCAACAACGGAATGTTGCTTAAACCAATCAATTGGACATGTGTCGCATCGATAGGATTCATAACACAATCTTCTATTACTAATATTCTCAGATGAGATAGGCAACGAAGAATAAGAAGATATTGTTCTAACATACAGATACCAATAGAAAGACACATCAGATGACTATCAATTGGCCATACAATATCTATCGATGTAAAGTTGAAATTGTTCAATACGAGCTTTCGAATTTGGTATCGAACCACGATTAATGATATAAGAGACCATATGTTTGTATATTTCTGTTCACTTGCATTGATTGAAAGTGTGACTAAGGAGTTAAAAAGTAAGTTTCGTAAAAGACAGTTCATAGTTACATTATCAATATTATCGAGTGTCAATGAATGCAGTCGAGTAAATTGATAAATATTGAAGATTTGACGAAAGGAAATAGTTGAACCTTGAAACCTATTCGAATCCATAATAGTCAATGAGACGACACTTTCAGGTCGAATGAGATGAGAAATGACACCAATATTGTGTTGCCATGATGAATCATAATTCAAAGTCAATCGATCATAGGTATCAATACAATCATACAATTTTTTGCAAACACGACGAAGTGAGAGCAATATCGTCTGAACACCAATATAATCAAAAATGTGATGTAGTAGTTCAGGAGGCAGGCTAGTCAAAGACAGTTGAGCCATGCGTCAATCAGCAACTGGGAAAAAATAGGAAGTCGCACGTTTTTTTTTTACTAATAATGCAATACTCAACGCGACATTGGAGAATGTTTTTTTTTATTGACTTCCACGCCACGTTTTTGTTCTTTCTGTTTATCGACACCATTCATATGGTGAGAGAATCACGCATGTAGGAAAAAAAGTAACTTGTTTTTTCTTATCACTAGTTTGTGAATCATTTACCGACAGAAAATTATTACGGTCAGCAAATAGAAATCGTTGGAGACTATTGTGACAAATGTCAATTTATTCCATGACGGCAAAAAGAATGAAGTGGGTCTAAAAATCACTTGCACTATCACAAGATCATTAGCAGAAAGTGCTGCATGATTCTTTTAAAAGACATGCTATTTCGTCGAAATAATCAAATTTATTGTACTCGAATGAATCGATTTGAGAAGAAAAAAATAATATTCTAACGTCGTACGCTGATAATTGACAGACGTTTATACATTTTTACATATTTGTCTGTAATTTTCAACTCGATGAGAAACCATATTGAGTGTAAATATGGCAGATCTTTCAACCTTTTCGAAGAGCTAATTAGCGCCATCAAGTCTACTGAGGCGCTAAGTCTACCACTATTGTCGGTGCTGGTATTAAATGTGGTTTGGTGTAAGACGAATATCTCGAGAACGGCATTAGCCAGCGATCTGCCGTTTTCACCAATCGAAAAAGACTGATCTAAGACATGCTTTGATACAATATTAGGCAAGGTGAAATCATCATATAACCAATCTTTTGGGGAAATATTTCCGAAAAATGTTCAACAATGCAATGCAGTTCGAATGAAATTTCCATTCTGACACGTACATTATATAGAGAGGGTGTGGGTGTGACTGAAGAGAAGACCCACACCCATACCCACACACAGCCACACCCACGCTCATACCCACACCCATAATACTCTTGGTTAATATGGGCTATATTAATCATGAAAAGAACGAAACACTAGAAAAGCATTTGATTGATTCGTTTTCTATGTAAAACAAACAGTCTTGTCGTCAATACATAATCTCAATTTTATTCTTTCTGCAAAGAGAAAAGATTGCTTTTTTACCAGTCAACACTCTAAACTGTTCTGATTGTCGCGTAGCATGTTGTAGCATATTTTTTTTCACTTTACTCTATGTTGCATTTGCTTTCTTTTTTCTCGAAGAAATGCACACTGCGTTAAAATGAATGAAGAGAAGTTACTTCTTAGTGCTCTACACATGTGCTTGAGTTTCCTGAATATTTTTACAGATGATGGTTTCTTTGATTTTATTGGTGACTATTTACGCTTGTTTACAGATTTCGTTCCATTGTAGTAACCATAAAATATAAAATAATTTATATTTTCAGTCTCATACTTGAATTCTTGTAGTTAAAAAAACGTCATTTTTATAAATTAGATGTTCGGATATAAATCGAAAAACAATTGGAAAAGAATTTGATTTTCTGGGATGGAGAAAATATGTTTGTGTATTTGGATGAATGGTTCTGTCTTGATGAAGAATTGACGATTTCTTATTTCGGCACATTTTATTCTGACTTCAAATGTCTTATCCCACTTGCTGAATACATCTAAAATGACATTATTAGTAAATTGCTTCCTGTTATAGATAGATTAAGAAGTTAGAAGATGACAACTGCTGTAAGACTAATCTGCTATGATACGAGCAACCTTAGAGAAATGATTGGTAATGGTTTTAACAATCGAGAATTTATTTATTATAATGATAAACAGACTTGTGCAGATTATGTTCAATCGATTGCAAAGAGTGAAACGATATTTCTAATTTCAACTGCATCATGTGCTATTGAAATCTTATCACTCATTCATTCGTTAAGACAGTTAGATTCTGTTTTTCTATTTTCAACTGAAGAGGATTATAACAAGTATGAATATTTATTTGATGAATATTCAAAAGTCATTGGAATAGTTTATGAATTACCGAAGTTATTTCAATCTATTGAAGAAAATATAGATTTAGCTATTAAACAAATTGAATCATTTCAATTTTACGAGCAAAAACAAAAATCAACTCGTGAATTATCGAAAGAAGCTGGTTCATTTCTCTGGCTACGTTTATTCAAAGATGTTGTTCTAAATCTTCCACATGATGAACAAGCTAAACAAGATATGATTAACCGACTTAAAGAACATTATCATAATAATAGTAAACAATTGAAATTAATTGCAAAATTTAATAGTGAATATAATGCTGATGATGCTTTACGATGGTACTCAGGTCAACCGTTTTTATATAAGCAATTGAATCGAGCTTTGCGAACTGAAGATATTGAATTATTGTATGCATTTCGATATTTTATAGCTGATCTTTGTAAAAGCCTTGCAAAGGAATATCAAATTATAAAAGAATCATTCGATTCTACAATTACATTCTATCGTGGAGTTAAATTGTCGAATGAAGAAGTCAAGAAAATAAAAAACAATGTCGGAAAACTTATATCGACAAATGGATTTTTATCGACGAGTATTGATCGTAATGTTGCACTTGCATTTGTCGGTGAACCAACTGACAATGAAGTAAGCATCTTATTTGAAATTGAATGTAGTCTAGACACAAATGAAACAGTAATTATGGCTATGATATCTCAATACAGTCTTCATCCTCAAGAACAAGAAGTTTTGTTTGATTTGGATGCTGCCTTTGAATTATTATCTGTTACTGAAGATGAATCATCGCCTATGACAATTGTGAAAATGAGAGCAACAAATGAAGGGTCAATTATTGCACAAGAACATATTGAACACCATCGAAAATATATGAGTACCAGTGGTGTAGTATTATTATTTGGTTATCTGCTTGCCGAAACTGGTGAATATGATAAATGTCAAAAATATTTTGAATGTTTGTTAAAAAATCCAAATGGAGATAATATATCATTTATTTACTATTATATGGGCGTTGTTCATTCTTATAAATGTGAATATGAAAAAGCCCTACAGTATTATGAACAAGCATATGAAATGATGATGAATTCTGTACCTCAACTTCTAAAAGCATCATCATTCGTTCTGAATGATATTGGTTCAATTTTACAAATTCAAGGACAATACGATGTAGCGCTTGATCATCATATGCGTGCTCTCAAAATTCGACAAGACTATGTCGATTATATAAATATGGCGGTCTCATTAGCAAATATTGCTGTTACTTATAATAGCAAGGGTGAATTTCAACGGGCATTAAACTTTTTCATGGAATGTCTTCATTTACGAGAACAATATTTACCTAACGAACATAAAGAGACAGCATCGGTACTGAGCAATATTGGTCTTGTATTTAATCATATGGACCAATTGGACACTAGTTTAGAATATCAATACAAAAGCTTAGAAATGAATGAAAAATGTCTTCCTCCTCAACATGAAAATATTGCATTGTGTCTATATCGTATCGCACTTGTTTTAACAAATAAAGGAAAATATGATGATGCTTTAGATTATCATATACGTGCTCTTAAAATTCGAGAAAGTATCTTTCCGAATGGACATATTAAAATATCAAATGCTCTAAATAATATTGGATTTGTTTATTATTCCAAGAAGGATTATGTTCTTACACTAGACTATCTCAAAAAATCTCTGGAAATGCGAGAAAGATTAATGCCTAATATTAATGATGCTGGGCTTTTGAACACTTTAACATACTTTGGTTTAACATATACTAAGTTGCGCGAACATAATGATGCATTGATGTATCATACACGTGCTCTGAAAGTTAGTCAAAGTTTATTTCATATTGGACATGGTAAAATTACTGATTGTTTAACTAATATTGGTATTGCATTTCGTGAGTTGAAAGATTATAAACATGCATTTGAATACTTTGAAAAAGCTTCAAAAAATGAAGAACTTAACACTACAAAACCGAATCTGTTTAAATTAGCTAGAATTTATGATAATATGGGTATTTGTTTATGCTCTCAAGATGACGACATGTCAAATGGACTTAGTTATCGAATGAAAGCTGTTCGAATAATCGAAAAACTATCTCCTTGTATACAATATGCTCAATGGATCGATAGTATCGGAAATATTTTTTTTGAATATGAAAAATATGATAATGCTTTAGAATGTTATCTAACAAGTTTAAACATAAGAGTACAGTGTCTTCCAACAGATCATATTGACATAGCAGAAAATTTCATGCATATTGCCGATGTTTACATTGAGAAAGAAAAAATAAAAGAACAAGAAAGCACTGGCAAATATCAAACAAAAGCTCTGTTTTTTTATGAAAGTGCATTGGAAATATATCGCAAATGGAAACATCCAAATGTTGCTGATGTTATAAACAAGATTGTTTCCGTTAATAAGAATACTAATTAATATAAACTTGTTCTGAAACGTCGTTGGCAAAGTTTTGCTGCTGAAAAACATTCTCAATAAACTTTTCAATCAAAATCTATTGAAATCTAATTAGTTTTATTGTTTTATCTTCTAATAAAAGTAATTTATCATTTATAAAAATAAATTGAATATTATCTATAATTCAAGAGAAAATATTAATTTACACAAAATCAAAATCTATATCGAACAGGGGTGTGGGTGTCGGTGAGTGTGAGTGTGGGTGTGAGTGCGGGTAGGAATAAAGAGAACACCCACACCCTAATCATAGTTTTGTAAAAAAAATTTAAGGTTTTACTGTAATACATGTATTTTGGAAAAATAAAGATTTTACCATGGCAGATATCTATTCAAGAAAAAAAAACGCACACATTTTAAAAAAATCATTCAAATGTTTTAAGTCAAATAAAAAAGCAAAAATCATGTCTGTCGAACTGCGAAGCTTGTTCTTTTCTTCTAGTCGCCTCTTCCACCACGTCCCAGCTCTATGTAATCTTCGTTTGCCGCTAAAAAACTTTCTCTTTCGTTTTCTTTTTCGTCACCAGCATTTCTCCGTGAGACAGGAGCACCAAGAAAGTTTGACGCACAGTCTCGTCGAAAGAGCAATAAATCAGATCCAGTTGATAAAGCAGGTTGGATATCCAAGGCTGAGATAATCAATAGAACAGCTAGGACAGCTGAAATATAGGTAATTTTTCCCATTTCAAGGAGCTTTCTAATCTTTCAGTACGTAATACGCTTTTTTTAAAGAAAAAGTGTAACTGATGCCACCAAAAAATTAAGCATTTTTATACAAGATCTGTAGCTCCATTGTCCCCTTCTCTCTCTGTTTTGAAATATAAGCAAACATTTGTCACTATGTAAACACTACACTTAATTTTTTGCATTTTTAAGTACCATTTCATAATCCATATGAAATGAAAAAATTTTACTTCGTCATGGAGGGTCTGAGAATGACGCTGTGAGGGTGATGGTGAGTCAAACTGCCACGATACTGTTGATAACTATTTCAAATTTATTTTCTTATCAAGTGCCTTAGAGTATAATGAATCGATGATAAAATCACGAAGAAATTATCATACGATGCGTTATATAAGTTTCCAGGACAGAGATGGGCAGCTCCGCTCCATGGAGCGGAGCGATTCATCAGAACGGTGGAGCTGGAGCGGAGTCGGAGCGATTTTTTTTCACTGAGAGCGAAGTCGGAGCGGAGCGCTTCCTAAGTAAAATGGAGCTGGAGCGGAGTCGGAGCGGCCTTTTGCCTCTAGCTGCAACCATACGCTCATTTTTTTCCTTTTCTCATGTGAAAAAAATTAGAAGTAAGATCAGATTAAAATCGATCAAAAAAGATGATTAAAAATCGATTAAAGTCGTACATCTTCTAATCAGGTTTTCATCAAACGTAACCAAAAACTCAACATTTCACAGATATTGATAATTAGTTTTTTTAATATATATCGACAATTGGTTTTTTTCTGAAACATATTAATACTTTGATTTTTTCTCAAATATATCGGCAATTAGTTTTTTCTTAAACATATTGATTATTTTTTTTTCTTCATTGTATATATGGGTATGGCCAAATGTTACGATATTTCATTTTTTTACATTGTAATACCTATATCTTCTCACGAGGGAAGGCCACCAAGTGTTCAATCGCTTTTCCGTTGAAAGTGCTTGTATTATATAGCTCCCAAGGAGTTATGAATACGCTGAAAATATTTTGGGCGGATAGTATATTGTTACGAAAATAGGCCATTTTTATGGTAATTTTCTATGATTGTCGTATCCCTCTTCAGGAACATTAGAAAATTGATTTTCGAATTTTGACTTGAAATTTTTTATAGCAATACATCTCAACGAGAATAGTGTTTTGTGAACGTTTTTGATCATTGAATTTGCTTGTTTCATTAAATCTGCTACTTTATTTGAAAGATGTAAAATAAAAATTTCACAATACCTATGTCTAGCGATAGGAATAGTAGAAAGGTCTAAAACGTTCACAAAAAGTTGTTCTCCTTAGGGCGTCTTTCTATGAAAATTTTCAAGTCAAAATTCGAAAATCAATTTTTTTAATGTCCCTGAGGGGGACTCCGGGCACTAAATAAAACCCGTATCTTAGAAATGGTCTATTTTCGTAACAATAAGCTATCCGCCCAAAATATTTTCAGTATATTCATAATTCCTTGGGAGCTGCATAATGTAAGTAGTTTCAACGCAAAAGCGATTGAACAGTTGGTGGCCCTCCCTCGTCAGTAGTAAAAGCTAACAATTTGAAATTTTTATCATAGACAGAGACTATTAAGTTCTACTACCAGTAAAAATTTTATTGGCTTTTTCCTTAACCAGAGCTAAGTTATTCCAAAAATAGTGACCGTTACGGAATTTCAAAAAATGGAATCTTTTTTGAGGGTGATGTGAGAGTTGAGCATTTTACTATGAATCGAAGTGACATATAAATAACCATTTTACGTGCAAGTTGTTCAGTTCCCCACAAGCTATCAGAATATCACGTTGTTTGCTAACAACTATGACTGCATAGAATAAAAAAACTAAAAATACTGTTCGTTACGGAATTTCATGTTTCAAAGTCGAAGGTTTTGAGGACCTGAAATTTTAAAATTACCATGATAAAAATATATCTCTTTCATAATGCACGAGTAGTACAAAGATAGTTCTATCGTTCAAGTAATCAAGTTTTATTCTCACAGCAAATGCACATTAAAATTGCTGATCATCATTCAGACAAAAAATGTAATTTAACAAGATTCAAAATCATACTTTATCACGAAATTAGTCAATAAATTTATTTTTTATATATATGATGAAAGAAAAATGCGGATTATATCACTCATAACTAAGGTATCTCACAGCTTTCAACATGTTTGTTAATCCGTCAATAATGTACTTTCGATTGCAGAGACAGTGTTCTTTCACTTTTGTAATTTCAAACCTTCGAATGTGAGGGTGACCGTTAGCTGGTCGTCACCATATGGGTGTGGGTGGGGTGTGGGTGTGGGTGTGGGTGTGGGTGTGGGTGGGTGTGAGTGTGGGGTGGGTGTGGGTGTGGGTGTGGGTGCGTGTGGGTGCGTCAAGAGAAGACCCATACTCACACCCATACCCACATCCACACCCTCGTTTGTAACGGAATGCACGAATCTTCGTTGACTCAGCTTTTTTGCAAACAACTGAGGTGTATTATCGAAACGATCCTGTTTCGGATTGGTAATAGTTTTAAACATATTGAATAGTTGAAGAGTTCACTCATTCGTATGAGTAGTTGTATGAATCAATTTGAAAACGACATCCGTTACAAACTGGTTGATATAAAGTGAGTCATGTTGCAAGACGAAACCACCCACATCATTTTATATATTAAAAGTATTATTCTGTCTTGAATGATTAGAGAAGAGTAGTTTTTCAAATTAAGAAACAGATAATATCGAAGACTTGAATCATCCATGGCCAGAATTATCGATCTGATCCGAATCAATGAGAAAAAAAACATATAATTAATTCTACCGGTTGTCTTGGTATTGATAAAACTTTCAAAAATAATGATTAAAATTGTCGATTTCTTTTTAGTTGGATTTTCAGAAACAGATAACTCTGCTATGTTCAAGTTGCACTTCGAGTTGGAGTTGCCCATCTCGGAGTCAAATACGAATTGGTCGCGTAATTCCCGCTGAAATATTATTATCTTTAGCAAAAGTTCGAATTCTATAAAAAAATCATATGAAATAAATGCTTTCTTTATATGTATGGAGCAATGAAGGCTTGAAACAATTTGATTCACATGTACATAATGAGTGAATATTCAAGAATGTTGAGTTAGGATACTTCCAAATTGAATATGTTATTAAGCCAGAACAATTTCTCACTATCATTCACGGCGAGACGCTGATGTCTTCTCCTGGTGGACACTCACAATCTCTACAGAACAGAGTAGTTAATAGGATGCATGCTATAAGCTGAAAGTCTTTGTCATTTACAAGAATACATAATTATGACATTTGGACACAAGCTTTAATCTTCTTCTTGAGGCTCTTTTTTTCATGAAAATTAATTTCTTTCCCTAGAGATATGCCGTGCATCTGTCCCATGACGATATAATGGATAACAAAGATGATTTCAAGTACGTCTCATAATATAAAAAGTCCAGGAACTCAATTTAAAACATTAAAATAACAAAACTCCTTTTAATATCAATAGGAAACAACGCACATACGCTATTAGATATTCAATAGGAAGGGTGTGGATGGGTGTGGGTGTACATTTTCCTCACACCCACACCCATACCTACCCACACCCACCCCACACTCATACCTACCCACACTCACACCTACCCCACACCCACACCCTCACTCACACCCACACCCACCCCACACCCACACTCACACCCACACCCACCCCACACCCACACCCTATTGGTGTGCTGAAATATATTCATACCTAAAACATTTCCATTAAATAAACAGATCCTGCTAGCCTCTCAAGAATAAGTGAAATTTCTTTTTTGCGAAATCAAAAAAAAATTCAATTGTATTCATGAAAGTTTATTAGCTTTGAAAAACAAATAACAAGAAACTAGAAAATAAAACTATCCATGGATTATTCTTCTCTGTTATTATTTTTAACCTATGTTGGTAAATATCAAATAAAATAAAGCTCATAATAATGTGTTGCTTTCATTTGATTTAAGAAATTGTAAAAATTGTTCGACATCTTTGACACAAAAATGAGGTAAAAGATCTCGTTCAGCTGTATGTTTTTCTACTTGTTGTTTAAGAGTATCCAAATATTTCTCCCTTGTTGCTCTACTAAATACAAGTAATGTTGTTGTACCTTGTCGATTACCAAAAGCAATATCAGTTTCAACTCTAAAAATGAATGATAAACAAAATGTTTATGTCGATAGTTTAACTCATACTGATCACCAATCATTACTGTTCGTTTAGGATCAACATCTGGAAATGCTAAACGAATAGCATCAAACATTGGTGCATGTGGTTTACCAAGTATTGTAGGTGAACGACATGAAGCTATTACAACAGAAGCCAAAATTGAACCCGTACCTAAAACTCACTAATTAAATTTATAATATTTTATTTTGCATAATGATTACCGGGCTTAACTATTTCATCATTTTGTGGATGCCTTGCATCATCATTCGTTGCTATGAACAAGACGTTTGGTCGATTAAGATAAGTTGCTGCTTTAAGAATTTTAATATAGCTTATATGTAAGTCAAAAGCTAATATCACACAATCAACCTATACATTCATATATATATAATGAAGAACAAAATATCAAAATGAACATTAAGTTTAATAAATACAAACATCTTTCTCTAATTCAAGTTTATCTACTGTGACTGCATTGCTATCGGAAGGTAAAGGATCAGGCTAAATCATAAAAGAAAAATAACTTTTCTTCTTATTATTAATTTAAATACTTACACCAATACCACCACAAATTTGAAAACCTTCTCGTTCTAATTCATATTTCATTGATTGCATTCCAAGTACATAACATTTTCCTTTAAAATTAATTGATTTTAAATGTTTAGCAGTAAGCCATGCCGTACAAATAATTTGTTCCTAGTCAAACAAATAGATATTTCATATTTACATATTTTTAAAAATTATCTTACAGGTTTAGCTTTATAACCAATATCATTGAAACGTTTTGCATAATCATCTTGTGTTGTTGTTGAATTATTTGTCACAAAAAATAATCGTTTACCCTTTATAAAGGAAAAAAATTTCAAATTATTTTCAAAGAAAAAAAAATTATTTTCATACTTGTTCTGTCAAATAATTTAATAATTCAACTGCACCTGTAAAGATATGAGGAAAATTCCAAAGAACACCATCACAATCAAACAAAAACGTATCATTGTCATTCAATAACGATTTTGCATGAAGTTCTGTTAAATGTATACAAAGTTCTTTTGTTGACATCTAAAACAATATAGAATTCTCATAAGAGTGTTAAACTGTATAGAGATAGAAATTCGGACCTGTGCCTTGCAGACAGCTTTCGGAGACTATATGAATTATTTGTTTATTATATTCTTACATGGATAAATCAATTTATACCAAAATAAATGGGATCAAGCAAAGAAACAGTTCAAATTTTAATCCCATAAGGATTGTACTAACAAACCTTTTTTTTATTGACAATCATGGTTTCAAAATTCTATCTTGTTGTAAATCATAATTTTATTGCAGAGACTTTTTTCTCTTAATCGAGTACAGTCATAAAGTATTATCATGTCTTCTGTGGTTAAGCAACCAACAAAGGAAAAAGAAATTCTATTATTGTTTTCTTTTTTTTTAACTAAATAATTTTTTCATTCGACTGTTCGAGTATGAAATAAATCTATAATTCCGAATATCTATACTTATAGACTATTTTAACTTGAAAAAACACAGAAATCTTTGTCCTGCATAAAACTATATAATCACTATTAAAACATACATACATATCAATCTAATCAAATATAATTCAAGATTATAAAATTTCTTTTCCTGTCTTTTTCAGGTAGTTACAAAACTAAGATAAAGTATACTTCATATTTACAGTAACAATAGGTTGTGCAGGTTCAACTTCAACATCGACAACAACAACATCAAATGCAAATGCTCCCAATTTTGATATTGTTGCTCAACAAATAAAGCAAACATGGGCTGATGTAAAAAAATCGATAAATTGAGAATAAAAACGTTTGCTTAGTGAGTTATATTTGAAAAAAAAGGAAAGAAAACG